TATCTTATTCGATCACTTTAATTTTTGGATGAAAATCTCAGTTCTTCCTTCGACGTGAAAATTCCAAAAAAATTAAAGTGATCGAATAAGATAAAAAAGTATATCATTCGACTCGATTTTCGACGCCGATTCCGAATATGATATTTTCATTGCGTGAAAGTTGAGTTCTAATTGAGAAAATCGCGAATTAGGGTCAGAATTTCGATGTCTCCCAGTAAAGTCGACTTTTCTCGACGAGGGAATGGAATTTTGAAAAACGCGAGCCATTGTTTTGAAGAGGAGCATCCGGCGAATCTAATTATGTAAAAATATTGACTCCGGGACTCTCCAGAAAGCACCTGCCGTTTTCGCTAAAATGAGACCTGTATTTTAGTCGCTTCGCTTTTAACGTGTTTGGCGAATAGGCGTTTAGATATATAAAGGCTTTTATTCCATATTCTAGTTCACTTTTTTCAACGCTGAACAAGAATATCTGAGTTTGAACGTTCCAAGTTGTAACCAAACTTAGAAAACTCAAATTTAAAAAAGGCGTGACAAACTGGGGTTTTGACCTCTTCATAGTATTTTACAATTTTCTCAGCGAGGAAACGGTTTTGAGAGGCCGGGGAACACATATTCGTGATCAGCGCGCGATTCTCTATCGAATGGCGTGTAAAATATAGAAAACTAAATTCTGCTCGATCTTTGCCTTACGTGCATCTTATATGTTTTTAATTTATTTTTAGAATTTATCAAAAAGAACAGTATCCAGAAGGACCAGACGAGCCATGAGAAGAGAATCATCGCCAGATATGGTTTTTCCTCCTTCGTTAGACGACGGTCCAAGAACAAGATTGTACAACGATCCTTTCGACGAACTGGGCGGATGGCTGTTTGAGATGCTACGGACAGGTGTACTTATATCAATGACTGAAGTGCAAAACAAATACATGTGTATTTTACGCCGCCGAAATCAGCCGTCAACAGAGGCGATAGTCCGAACAACAGCGATTCGTGCACGTTTGGTAACGATATACGGCAATGAACTACATTTTACCACTTTAAACAAGTACAGCGGCACTTATGTTGCACTGAATAATTTGTCGGTTTACACGCGTTTGGCACTCTCAATATCGTTAAATAATAACGAATCGATCAAAACCTTCGAAAAAGAACAAGATAATCCAAGTACAAAAACCAAATGTGAATCATTATTCGACACACTCAAGCTCTTACGTCAATCGATCAACGAACACTACCATTATTTCAAGAAATTAAAAGAAAACCCAGATATCTTGGCAAACTTTAATTCGGGTTTATTCTGGGACTGCGCACCATTATTATTGAAAAATTTCATTGGTTCGTTGACGTTGAGTGAACGTCGATTTGAAGAACTGCAAAACAACTACAATTATTACGATCTGCTCGAAAAAGATATGTTCAAAACATCGAGCAAGTGGTTAAAGATATCTTCGATCTCATATGACATTATTAGCTGCAAAAACGATTCCTACGTAACACCTAAACATTATCTTCTTGCAAATGAATTATTTCGTCATGAACGATCGTCGCAACTACTAACAATTACAAATCGATATGGACATACATGTGGATACAAAACAATTGTTCGTCTACACCATGAAGCCGCCGAAAGAGTAAAAATGTCCTCAATTCCCCTAGCAAGTGTTAAACAACAACATATGTTTGCAATCAAAGTTGCCGATAACTTTGATCTAAACAAAGAATCACTACATGGGGAAAACAGTATACATATCCTCAATCAAATTATTGTCCATAATCCCGAGAACGACGAATTATTAACCAACGTACACCAATGTTTGGCTGAAATGAAGGATATAGTCGCAGAATCGGTAGAATTGCACTTGATGCCAGAG